GGGGGGGGGCATGGGACAGCACCAGGAGGGGGCCCAAAGCCCCCTCCCCAGCCCCTTGGCATCACTAAAAGCACAAGAAGCCTATAAAATCCAGTTATTTTTAAATTTTGATTCTGCCCTGAGGTGGCAGAGCTCGGCCTCACCTCTCCCTGCTTCTTTTCACCCCAAATATTTAAAAGCCATAAATATTTCACACCAAATATTTCGGGAGTCCATCCCGGCTCCCCTTCGGCACAGGATTTAGGGCATCGTTCCTCAGATCTCGCATCGGGAGCTGCCTCCTGCCAAGGTAATTCCCTTATCACCCATTTCCACGGGGCAGCAGCAGCCAGAGCCACCGCCACGGCCGGCCCTGTCCCCAAACACAGCCTGGAGCGGTGGCACTGGTGACACTGGTGTCACTGGCCAGCGGGAGGAGACACCAGGGCTGCGGCTCCGCAGGGGTTAAAGCCACCTGCAGCACAAGAAAAGGTCCCTAAAAATGTAAAGTGCCATTGTTTGTTTCTTTCTTTCCTTCCCATGATGAAAATACTGCTTTTTAAAAAAAAAATAAATAAAAAAAAAATCAATAATTCCACCAACAAAACGCTCGATACTTTCTCCTCCTCCAAAAGCCAGCACCAAAACGAACTGAAAATACCCTAAAATCTTTCTGGACTGGCCTCATTCTCCATCTCCCACTTCATTTAAGAGGCAAAACCATACCCATGAGCACACCCCCACCCCTAAATCTGGGGTCACCCCCCTGGTTTGCCTTGGGGGGGGGGACAACACTGTGGCCCCCGGAGCTTTTCCCCAAAAAGGGCAGTATCTTCACCCTTTGCTGGGGAGCAGATGGGGGTACGAGGGGTTTTGGGGTTACCAAGTCAAGGGGTTTGCTTTTTGGAGGGGCTGGTATGGTGGGACCCCGTGGTCCAACGGGGCAAAAACAGCCTGAAAAAAAATCACACCCCCCAAAAAAATCCCACTGAGCTTCCAAAAATCATCTCCCCCCTGGGTGGGCTTGGGGCAGGAGGTGACAACGAGGTGACAGCAGGGAACTGCCACCCCCCACATCGTGGCCAGTGCTGGTGGGGATGGATCTGGCCACCACGGCCCCCCCCAGGGTGGGGGTTTTGTAGGGTCTTTCCCAGGCAGGAGGGGGATGTGACAGGGAGGGATCATCAGCCACGGTGGCCTTGGGACAAGGTGGGTTCAGCACCTCCTGGCCAAGGTGGGGTCCATGGGGGTCCAGGGCTCTGCTACAGCCACTTGTGGAGTGGGTGAGAAGCAGCTGGAGGAGGGGGGGGGTTCACCCTTTTCACCCCCAGGAGATGGTGGGGTCAAGAGAGAGACCACCAGCTGTGGTGGACAACTGACCTCTCTGGGCTGGAAGGAGCCAGGGAAGGGAAGCCACGCTCTCCCTGTCACCTAAAGGTGACAACCATGGAGTTCCCTGGGAACTGCTCTCCCCACAGCCACCCCACAGCTCCCACAGCCACCCCACAGCTCCCACAGCCTCCATCAAGCCCCTTCCCCAAATCCCCCCCGTGTTCCACGAGGACAGGCTTTAAACCAACCATGATTTAAGAATAAAACCCAAGAAAAGACAAATCTCTCCCCGACCCACAGGTGGGAGCTCATTGCCACGCTCTTCTCCAGCATAAATCCCCCCGGGGGGGGGGTGCCCACCTTGTCCCCCCCCAGGATGGAGACCTCGGAGAAGGTTTCTCCCTTCCCAGCATCACCCATTTCCACGTGAAAACCAGGGAGGGGAAGTGTCTGCTCATCCCGGTCCCACCTCACACACACACAAGTGTGCACACACACACACACACACACAAAATTATTCAATTATTTTCCTTTT